ATATACATTTTTAAGTTATTAAAATTACAGGGGCATAATGGAAAAGTACCAAATTGACAGATAGGAATTTATTTTACTACATTTCTAGAATACAATAACAATAAGGATCAGAACAATAGATTAATTTTTCTATATTTTTTAGATAATTTAGATGCATGCTAACTATGGAAATAAAACTATTTATTAATAAATAAAATAACTATTCTGACATTATTATTTGGGTATATACTGATGTTATATTAAGTTTTTTATAAAAATCATGTGAATAATTTATGAACAGTCATAATTACATTAAATTCTGCCTTAAACTCACTTCCTCTTTAAACCTACTAATAGAATACTCATTTATTATGTGTTTGAAGATTTTAACAACTGGTGACCCAAACTGACATAGGAGTAATTTTTCCATTCCACCAACTTTAAAATAAAATGTTTGCTGTCATGATGTCACACAAAAGCATGGTAATGTTTTGAGTTACTTTAACCAGAGACATCTTCAGAACTTTAAAACATGTGAAGTGCAAACTTTAATAGTTCTTGAAAAACACTGTATACTCCTTACCCTAAAACAGCCAGAACCTACTTTTTATTCTGGTAATAATTTAGATTAATTTTCACACAGATTTAAGTCAAACAGAAAGACTGCACCTTTGAGCTCATTTAATTTAATCATATTTATATAATAATTTTAAATTGACTATTGATGTAAAAATACTGTATTTCTTTTACTAAGTGATCGAAAGATAGGATACTTTTAGTTTTATAAACTAGATTGGTGTGAACAGTATATTAGTGAAGGAATAGAAAGAAAAACATAGAACACAAGTAATCTGATCTCATATTAGTATCATAGCCACAAAGGTCAAACTATCTGACAAGTCATAAAAGACAAATTTAAATTCCACATATAGTTCTGACCAAAATAGAAATATAACCTTCTTAAATAAGAACTAAATCAAGCTTAACATTTTGCAGATTTTCTAAATGGACTTTATTACTGTAAAATACAACATATGTGTATTAGTTTGTTCAATTTTTTTTTTTTATTGGAAGATTTAGAACATTTATGTGTGATCAAACTAGACTAACAGCATATTTATATAACACAAAATGTTTATTAAAAACAAGTTGATAAAAACTAATGTTTCATTACAGATACAGGATTTTATCTAGTCTTAAATTGGGTCCTTTTACCAAACTCTTCACCACTGCAAAAATACCATTAAAACTCAAAAATAAAAGGCAATAGACACTGCTCTCTAACTTTGTAAAATATGCAATATTTCATCTGTTACATAATTTGAACACTAAACTGTTTGTATTCTGGAGTAAAATTGTTTGTTATACAAATATTTCAATAAAATAATTATTTTCTATTGTTTAGTATACATTTTCAGTGAATTTAGACAAAAATAGGGATACATTTACACCCATTTAAGTTTGTTATTCCATTTTCAGTGGAATAGTCTTAAGAGTGTTATGCAAGTTAAGGATCCTGGTGTTCTGGTTGATCACTCTCTTAAGCCACCCAACGAGTGTGATGTTGCTGGTAGTAGAAAAAATAGGGTTTGAGGTTATATCTACAGAAATTTGGAATATAAGTCTTAAGAGATTATCATCTCATTGCATAGGTCACTGGTTAGGCCTCATTTGAAGTATTGTGTTCACCATAGGGTTTCTTACCTTAAAAAGGACAATGAATTGATGGAAAGGGATCACAGAAAGGCTATTAGGGTGATACCTGGGACTCAAAAGTTGTCATGCAACAAAATATTAGAAATCTGTGAAATTGTTTCCCCTTACAAAAAGAAGAGCTAGAGGGTATCTGATTTATATGTCCAAGATTATTACAGGAATTGATAGTATTAATACATCTTTTTTTTTCATATTTAAAAGTGAGAATGGCAGGACTAGGGAACACAAATATAAATTTTGGCTGGGTAATAATCATCTTCAGCTGAAACAGTTTCACTTTTCTAACAGAATTGTTGGCCTTTGGAATAGGTTGCCTTCAGATATGGCAGATTCAGTGAATTTAAGGGAGTTTAAGAGAAGGTTTGATAAATATTTAAATGATTTGGATTAGACTTGAGTGTTTTGTGTGTGTGTGTGTGTGTGTGTGTGTGAATTGGATGGAACATCCGTGATGGCCGAACAGGCCCCTTATCCTTATGTGATATGTTAATTTGAACTAATAATCTTATTTTCGTATCAGTGCCAAATTTAACACAAGTATAAGAAAAATGACATGAGACTAGGTTTCCAAAGCTTTTACTTAATCTGATGAAATATTTTGTTGCAATCATTTTGTTATTTTCAATAAACAACTTTAATTAAAATAACAAACTAAAACTTACTCTCTGTCTTGGATGTGAGTTTTATCACGAATAAGATTAGGTTGTGGAACACCCTGTTGCTGACCCATACCAGGCTGGGGAGCAAAACCTTGCTGAGGTTGACCATAATGCTGATGTTGCTGCTGCATCTGTGCCTGTTGTTGAGGGACTTGGGCTGCTTGCATGTAAGCTTGTTGCCCACCAAGGTGGCAAAAGGCTCCAGGTAATAACAGTGCAGTTATACATAAAAGCATGTAATTCATTGTTATATCCTGGAAAATCACAAACAAAACATTTTTAGTACAAATGTTCCCCTTTCAAGCTAATACTTTGAGCATAACCACATATATGACAATATTAAATTATTTATATATTTAGTACATCTTAATTAAGCAATGTTTATTTCAGCATTTCTTATTAAAATGAGACATAACTCTTAACTTGTATATTTTTTCTCCCATAATTCTTAAGTTTCATAATTTATTCTATTAAAATACCTACCATGCATCAACTTTTCATTACATAACACTTATAACTGATCCACACAGTAAGTCACAAAATGTTTCTCACTAGTTATTATGTAGAATATTACAAATGCATCATGACATACAAATAAAAAAATCTGTGAATAGCTTGCAGTAGTATTACTTTAGTCTCTTGTTACGAAGTATGAATTCAAAATGACACATCTGATTACTCAATTACTTGTATAACATATTGAAGTTCTTGATATATATATTTTTAAAGAATGATCAAGTATTGTCTCAACAAGTTAAGTAGCACCTAACTGTAAAATACACATTTTAATGGCTGTAAAAACATTGAAGTATTTATTTGTATTACATGCATAATTTGCCAAACATGTGGAAGCACAAGCTACACAATAGGCTATCTATGCTCTGCCCACCACAGGTATCAAAACCTGGTTTCTAGTATTGAAAGTCCACAGACATACCACTGTGTCACTTAGAGGCTCGAATAAAGTACTCTTGATACCGTGTGCTAGCATTCCACACTCTTTTATATCTTCTTTACTTTAGTGCCTCGGACTTCACAAGAATATGTCGCATCGAGTATAACAGTATATCTGTTAGTGTTATTGAATGTTACTAACACAGTAATACTAACAGATGTAATGTGGCTGACATGTTAATATTAATAATAATATGCACTTATTTACTTCACTGGGAAGTTCTTACTAATAGTATTTACATCGATAATTCGTAAAGTGAGCGTGAACTTAACAATATGTAGTACTATTACTAATAATAAGATTTGTAGTTGTAATTTTACTAACTTGAGAACGAAAACAGGTTAATATTCTAAACATATCGATACTTAACAAAAGTTACTCATCATATCAATTGTAAACCAATATTTACTAGAATTTAGTAGGTAATATTCCAGTACTTTCACAATATAATAAACATCAACACAAAATAAATACCGGTGTGAAGAATTTAATTCCAAATTAGCGCAGCAACAAAACAGTTTCTCCCTAAAAAAATGTAAAATGTTCTTCTCACCGTACACGTGAACTTCTCTGTTCACAAACGGAATGACGTGTTGAAGATTACATTGCCCTCTATACTAAAACGAATTGAAAATATCCATTTAAAATTTAGCATTTGTGTTGAGTTTATTCTTCATTAAACATGATGTTATTATTCTGTTTTCTAGTTATATTATTAAATTTTACCAGGTCTATAGACCTATTTATACCAAATATTTTAATTTGGTTAAGGCAAATGTAGTGAAGGTTAAATGAACAGGCTAATTAAAAAGAGTTCAATAATTGAGAACATTAAAAGGCTGTAAAGAAAATAATAAAGATTGCAATGAATCAATCAAGAAAATCCTCTTGAAAGACTGGATTGCTAAAGTAAACTGTTAGAAGAGTAATAAGACTTGCACATTCTAAATAGTTTTTAGGGAAAGTAAATGTCATAAGTTACTAAAGATTGGGGATTTGGTGAGAAGCGGAATAGTTGGGACACTTAAGGAGAATTAACACATCAAACAGTTTTAGATGCTGTATTACTTGAGCAACATAAAGAAGAATCACTAGTACCCATACTATACAAGATAGAATTCAAATCACAAGTGCCAAAATGGATACGGTTGAATATAACATCAATACATCTATCAGTGATACAAAAATGGCGCAACAAGAGTAAAGATAAAAGCTGAAATGTCCACAGGAAAAAGAAGCCAATCGAGAAAACCAGGTGGAATGCAAATGTGTAATTAATCAATCTATTGCAGACTTCTGAGAATCTTATAATTGGGAAGAAATGAACGGATAATCAGATATAAGTAGTATTGGAAAGCCTATCGGTGCATATATTATCAGAAATTCTAACATGTCCTGGAAGTCAAAGGGAGATCCTTACTGCGCAGGTGCAATATGCAAGCATATAATATATTTTCTTCTTTCTATAGTGGTATAGAAATTTTCAAAAGTTTTCGATTACTTAATTTCCGTGCTGTTATGGTGACAAAGCGTTGTCCAAAAAAGTTGTTAGGATTACCTTATTCTAGTTATCTTATTTCTTTTTCTCTATACTAAATGAGATTTATTTTGCCTGAGAGGATATTAAAGTAATATACATATTGTTACGTCTCTGGTCGTTAATTAATTTTCCGTAAATTCGTTTTGACGAAACTTTAGCGACACAAGTCCTTTCTTAAATAAAACTGGTTTATTCTTTCTGAATATAACTTTGCGATACACTTAATTTCAACAGTCGCGCTATAAACAAACACTGTGATTCACAACGAACGTCTCACGTGTTCACCAATATTCTCTCTCCCTTTGGTCTTCCTGGGATTATACAACCACACCTTGTCTCCTTGTGCAAAGCTGACTTCAGTAGATCTCTTATCATAAGATATGGTTAGATGATGCAGTGCGACTGGCAACACTGGTTGGCATTAATATTTCGATGCCCAAGGCACAAAATTCTATCAAGCAAATTCATTATTCAAATACATCAAGCATTTCTGTCAAGGAATATTACCTGAGGGGTGTTGCTTAATGTATGCACTACATTGTGGGATTTCCATTTGTTTATCCACTTAGGACAATTTCTTGATCGTGAGAATAGTGTGACCAAAATGGCTTAGCCACCATCTTTCTGAACTATTGAGTAAAGTTTCACTAAATAAGATATCCACAGGATGTCAAACGATAGTGGCTTGATCATCAACAATTAGGAGAGTTGTTTGGTTAAGAAACTAGTGATTTAAAGGGGTTTGGGACCCTTACTTTCCAATCTATTGAGTGGTATTAAGATATGATGTATGTACAACATTGTAGGATTATCACTTGATCATTGACAGCTAGAGTGTCATGTGATTGAAAGTATATCATGATGCTTGGCAATGTGAAATACTGTGTATGCACCACACCACACGGTTACTACTTAGTCAACAGAAGCTAAGACAGCTGGAGTGAAGAGATTTAATACTAAGTACATCAACAGTTTGTGCAACTGAAGATGGGAATTAGTAGGCCAAAAAAGGTTTTTTCAACCCTTACTTTCTGATCTCTCAATTTAAAAGTCTCAATTAGTCCAAATTTTGACAGTAACTCTGGATTTCATGAATGCTGAAATATAGATTAGTAGAGTTTTATGGCTCCTAAGAGCGTAGATTCATAAGGTAGCTCGAAAATTAGCAAAATGATTCATGCAGTAGCTGGAGGTGATCTGTATAAATTGCTAGAGCACTTGACAGTTTTAATGATGGTATATGTATGTTGTAAAATATTTATCCACATCAGGCTATCTGATGTGTCCACAACTGAGAATCAAACTCCAGATTTTAGTGTTGCATGTCCATAAAATTACCACTGTCCCACTAGAGAACATAAAAAATATATACGTGTATGGTCACACATGCATATATGAACATTACATAAAGTCATTTTTGAATGTTTAATAATAAAAACAAATCAATTACACATGAAGAATTGATGAATATGAGGTTAACCGTGGTAACTGATCTAAAAAGTATTATTATAAAATGCAGTGTACCAAAATTTTTCATTAATATTAGTAAAAGAACATTTCAATTTTGATTTGAAATATTTGGCAGATAGTTAATTTTCATGGAAGAGAGAAAAGTAACAAAGAGACTTACATTACATCTAAGAGAGAAACAGTTTTACCTGGTGGCTCTAATAACACAGCTCTACATAAAAAGTAGTGCAAAAACATATTTCAATTGGATTTAATTGAAATATTCATGAGTAGGTGAAATTATCAGAAGTAAATGAAATTCATAGACAGTAGATTAGATATCATGACAAATATATACATAGTTTACTCATTGTTTTATTTGGAAATGATAGGAATATTTTCATTGATGTAGACTGAAATATTTTTTATAATCAAACAACTGTACAGTACATTTTCTTAACGTTGTTTCATTACAAGATGCAATACTGAAGCATGAAAGATGCAAATTCTAAGTGTACTAAAAAAATAACACCCATGTGGTGAAACTGTAATTCACACTAAAAACTGTTACACAGACTGTAAATGGTAGAAAATCCAAAAGGAAAGCAATGGAAGTGTTGATGAGAGCTAATGGTCATAGACGTTGGTTAGTATAACCTCACCAGAGTCAGCTTGAATATGTAGGAACCTGTTGCAGTATCGACTCTCAATCCTTGATACTGGAACCAAACACTGTCTAAATGACAACAAGATGGTAGGAAGAAGGATGAGAACAAGTTGGAAAGTGTGTAATATGTTTCAGTTGTCCATCAGGAATAACAGAGGGCAGCACAGTCATATGGTAGTTGATTGTGTGGAGACTCATGGAAGCCTGGGGATTGAGAAGTCCACAGGCTCTCAAGATACACACTCTATGGGCAAAATAGTGTGAGTACACGTGTTATGACCCACTTTCACCTACACACTTAATTGAATTTTTAAACAATTGGAATTCATGCAGCCTTACATTAGAATATGGACTTTTGTACATATTGTTGCGTATCTGCTTGTTTGTTAATTTCCGGTATAAATTCTTTCCGAGAAACTTTAGTGATACAAGACCTTTCTTGATTAACCCAGTTTATTCTTCCTCGATACAACTTTTAGCAATACACAGAACTTCCACAGTCTCTTTAAACTTAACAACCTTTATAACAAATGTTATCAATCACAGTGATTCACACATTTTACTTACGATGCCTACTCCTCGCTTGACTCAATTATCTATCGCTTCAATCCCGCTGTTTTTCTCTGTCAGGCCTATATACTAAACCGGGTAGTTTCTTCTTTGACAGTGGCTTTTTCAGGTGACACATCTTCAGCAGCGTCATTTGTTTCATTGTTCACTTCATTCCAACTGACATGTCTTGGACCATGATAATGCCAAAGCTTACCTTTCGCTTATCTCGCCGACCACATTTTATTCAGAAAGTCACGACTGAGAGACGATCCACTATGTCACATGGGCCTTCACATGGAGGAAACAACTAGGAGACTTCCCTTTGGTCTTCCTGGGATAAAACAACCACACCTTGTCTCCTTGTACAAAGCTGACTTAAGAAGATCTCTTATCATAACATAGCTTCATGGAATCAGCAGACGTTTTCAAGTTTGAATGCACTTGATGATGAACATCATCCATCCTTTGAAATAACACTTTCACGAACTCTCACACATTTTCAGGCGACTCTTCGTAAGGTGAGTGTCCTGTTATGAGGTCCACTGGCAACCCGAATTCCCGACCAAACATCGGCTTTGCTGGAGTGTATCCACTGGCTTCATGCTTTGCTGTTCTACAGGCCATCAATACTGGAGGGAGAAAGACACCCCAGTCATCTTGGCGGCTATTACAAAACTTTGCCAATTCCTGTCCCAGTGTCCTATTCTACTTTTCTACCATCCCATCAGACTGTGGGTGAAGTGGCGTTGTC